ACTGCATAATTTTCTAAGATTTATCATATTTTTCTCGTAATTTTCTGAGCACCTTTCCGGTACGCGCTTTTCCAAGCCAGTACCGATTTTTAGCACCAGTTCTCATTATCTGGACTTGAAACTAGTTTTACAAGTCCTAAAGATTATTCTAGTAATTGCCATGCACTTATTATAATTTTCCGGAATATTTTTTCGGCACGCATTTATACCGACTAGCAGAATCGGTATCTGCACTTTTCTTCCGAAAATCGACTTTCAGCATTATTACTCACTTATTATAATTATTAAAGCCTCATAATAATTATTAGGGTCAATTATGGAATCATTTCCTATTTTCTCATAATTTATTAATTAAATTCCTTAATTAACGGTGCGGGTTCTTACAGAGACCGTATGTTTTGTTAAGGATCCAAAAAGGGCTTTACTCATAAATTAATTAAAATTCAAAAATAAATTATATTTTATGAATTTTATAATATTATTTTATTTTATTTTACGCTCCTTTTAAATTTTTTCAATATACTAATATTCAGTTAAACATTCCTTAAGAAATCATTTGTCTCCATATATAGATAACATTTGTTATAAATAAAATTTTTATTCTTTATTTTTTCTAAGACTAAGATATTTTTTTTTTAAATATCACAAAAGTTTAGTGACAAATAAAATACCATTTAATTGTAAAAAAAAATTAATTATGACCCGGCTGGTCAACTCTCCCCATGGCGGGTTGAGCCCGTTTTGACCCACTTTTAGACTGGGCGGGTTGAAGTAGGTTGGCAAGTTGAAAACCTCAACTCAACCGGCCCGTTTTGGCTGGTTGACCTGCCGAGTTCAGTCCAAATTGTCACCTCTACTTCACGTATAAGTGTTCATCAACATATTCAAATCACGATAATTAAATTAAAAAATCGATAACCGAAAATCAAAAAATCAAAATCCGAAAAGAATGCATATTTTAATTGGATTGGATGGTGAAAACCGATCCAATCCAAACTGATCTAATGGATTATTTATTTATTATTTTTGAAAGATGTTGACTTGAAATCTTATTGTTTTGTAGACTTTGAATCTTAAATATTATTGATAACAAACTATCTTGTTTTAATTTTTATTGTCTATAATTTATTTTAACTCTTCTTGAGCTTTAAGACTTGTTTTAGTTTGAAGACTTGAATTTTTCATGAGTTTGTAACTTTAAATGGCTTTATTTTGATATTGCTAGTAATTTCTATGGTTCAAATTTTAGACTTTTTGAAAAATCAAAAATCGATCAAATCCTAATCGAATAAAATTGAACTGAATTCGATCAAATTTTGAAAAGAAAAATCATTACCGAATGAATAATTAAATAATAAAATCAAAAGAATTGGATTAGATAATTTTTATAATCCAATCAAAACCTCGAACACTATTAAATCCACACGATGGTTGATGGTGTCACCTACGAGAATACTCTATCTTTCTTTCTTTACTAACATTATGCTTTGGAATGCCTCTACAGAGACACCTTTAACCTAGTTTAAGCCCAATCACTATAATAAGTCCAGCATAGGACTTCATTTGAAATGAAACAATTGACCACTTTCTTGGTTGTTTTAGATGTCAACTTATTTCTCAGTAGTTTTGTCCTTTGATCAAGTGCATTGCTTTGTAAGATATTCCTTCCGTTTCAATCATGATATCAATTTCTTTTTTTCTTTTTCTTTTTTTCAATTTTGATGTCTACATTTTATTTCTGTTAGAATGATTCTCAACTTTTGTAATTTATTTTTCTATTTTAATGAAATTTTAATAAAAATTATTAATTTATAAACAATAAATTCCATGAAAAGACAAGTCTTGCAAATGCGGAACTGCTTATGTAAAAGTTATACCAAAATTGTTTGCGAAAACAACTTACCAATTGTCTTTTGTCAAAAAATGTCCCATGCCATCATGAGATGACTCAGCTTGAAGTCATTGAAACACTTTGTTTTCATATCTGACTCGATTTTCCTCACATGCAAGAAGATGCAACTAGATATACTACCAATTTCATAAGACACGGAAATTATCGTTGACGCGAATTATAATCATATAAAAAATTAAAATCGGTATGTGTAGCGTAAAAAGTTATTTGAGAATTGACAAATTAAATAACTTCAATTATTCGTTATTCAAATAAAAATTAAGCGAAATATATAATATTTTACCATGAAATGGAAAAAAGAAAACTTTTTTACTAAACTTCAGTTAAAATTCATAAAAGTTGGAGGTTTTGATACATGTTACGTATATATGAAAAAAAAAGAGCTTTTGTTATCAAAAAAAGAAAAAAAGAAAAAAAAAAGGAGCTTTTTGTCATCAATTGTATTTGAAGATATAATTATCGAGATTTTTTATTATCAAATAACTGCATTTCATAATATTTTTTTTTATCTAATTTATTTTTAAAAAGATATTCCAAACTAATATGATTAAGAGTAAACACCCTTTTTGGTCCCTGAGAATATTTACGAAATCCTTTTTAGTCCCTGGCAATAAAAAAGGATCAAATTAGTCCATAACAGTATGTAAAAAGGGCCACGTTAGTGACGGAGGAGTTAACATAAGAACTAACATGACTTTTTTTTCTTCATAATTTTAGGTACCAATTTAGTCCTTTTTTATTGCCAAGGACTAAAAAAAATTTCGTAGATATTGTCAGAGACCAAAAAAGATGTTTACTCTATGATTGATTTTGCACATCGATTGACAAGTTATGCGCATCAACGATGCGAGACTTAATGCTGGCATATTAGTCTCGTATGTTTGTCCTAAAATCTCATAAATTTGTCATGCAATACTATCACATTGAGATTAAGTCCAATATAATCAATACGTACGTGGGACTTAAAAGAATCTCACATGATCAACATACGAGATTTGTTTCTTATAATCAATGTGCAAGATCCGCATTAGTTTGGAATTTATTTTAAAAAATAAATTAAATAAATATGTTTTTGTAAAAAAAAAAAAACTTTGGTAGGGTTAAAAAACTTGCTATCAAAATTTTTTTGTTGAAAATCATTAGGACTGGTTTAATGATGAGAAATTTTATTAGTTTAAGATTTTGTGTTCAATTCATAAAAAAAAACTTTGTTAAGTAAAAATTAAATAGTAAACAATGAAACCATGCATACAATTAAATTGAAATACAATATTATTTTCAGGAAGTCTAAAATAATATTATTTTGAGACAGAAATCAAAATATTTTATAAATATAATATATTGTAGAGTTATATTAGTCTTTATATTTATAATTTTAAAATAATATTATTTTGAGTTCTTCAAAATATAACTTTATCTCCAAATCAAACACCAAACAATTATGTAAATGTAAATTAAACATCATCTTCAAAATGAGATCAGACATTGACTATATAAACAAGAAAATACATAGACGATATCAGTAGCAAGACTCTCTTTGGGTAAAAAGCAAAACACTATGCATGACACTAGGGATTATAGACTACAGAATAGGTGAATGATATAATGCTACACAGCTAGATAGTTTCAATATAATAATTAACGGAGTCATAGTAGCAAGTATTTTAACTATAATTGTTTAAATTTTCTTAAAAAATTATATACTATTTAATATGTTTAGAATTTTTTTAAAAATTTAATATTCTTCATCTTCAATCTTTATTAATAACTTGATAATATTTTTTATCAAAAAAAATAACTTGATAATATCACTATCATTTTTGAAAAAAAAAAAGCTTCAAAATTCCATGAGTACCACGGCGCGTTACAGCAGGCGAAGCAACATAAGAGGCTTAATTGTTGAACTATATGATTTTCTTGGGTGACAATTGTTCCACGCGCAAAGAAAAAAGAAAGTTGTCCTTGGCCACATGTAATGGGAGGGTTCATGTGACCATAAAATTACAAAAAACTAGAGAACAAAAGTCTTTATGCACTCTTTAAAATATCTTTCTATGGTCTCTAGAACCATTACTTATATCAAGGTGATAATTGGAGAGAGAATGAGAGAGAGAAAGAAAGGTTAGGGAGAAAGAGGAACCCACCTTCATTAGGTTTGCCTTCTAAGAAGCCAAATTTTTTAGAAAGTGAAAGAGAGAGACACACTGAGATACAAAGGTAGGAAGTGGAAAAGCTCAAGAGAGCAAGGAAGCAAAGAAAGAAGATGACGGTGAGAGAAAAATAAAAATAAAAAATGGAGTTGCAACAACAATAACAAGAGCATATAATGCACAGTAACAAAGGTCGTTATTGCATTTTACCTCATTCATTGCTCTCTGTGCCCTCTTTCTCTGCTATATTCTGGACCATCCAGAAACACACTCTCTCTCTCTTGTTCAATTAATTAACCTTTTCTTGGTGTGGAAAAATTCCTAAGTGAGTAGCAGTGAGCCACAATCGTAGCAGAGGAAGATCAAGCAGGAAGCAGAAAAAAGAGAAGTGCTAAATTCTTTACACAAGAGATCTCTACTCTCCCTCGCACAAATTCCATCGCTCTCTTTTAAATTCTTACCCTTTTCTCTCTCTCTCTCTCTGTGATACACTTGCAGAGACCCCACTTGAATAAAACCCGCATTAGACACATATCCATATGGATAGAGTTGTTCCCTTCCAAAACAAAAAAACTCAGAAGATCTAACAACCTTTCATTTAGGGACAGACAATCATAACCACCACCATGTTGTGAACACAGACACACACATACATACGCATACATGCGTTCGATGTTGTTGTTGTTTTTGTTATAATTATATTTTGATATATCAAAAAACCATATATATAAAAATATATATTTTGATTGTGTTTGAGACATCATCAAACACCTTCAGTTGTGGCTACTACAAGGAGGTTGCCTTCAGATTCTGGTGCTTTTGCTGACTGGGCAGCCACACCTTCCTCCTCCGCTGTCGGTCGCGCTGCCCCACTCGACGACCTCTGCCTCGGATTCAATGGTTCCTCCACCGCCTCCGCCGCCGGAGGAGCTTCCACCGGACCCACCGCCGGAATGTGGCCTAGTTCCACTAGGTCAATCAACTACGGCCTGTCACCGGATATGGGCATGGTGGGTCTCCGTGACTTGTTCGTGGTGACACCTGCTTCATCTTTCCACCACCACAATCACCACCACCATGAGGCTGTGATGTCGGATCTTCACTTCATGAACGGTGGTTCCAACCCTGCCACTGCACTTGGTGTTGGTGTTATCCCTGTCCTCACTTCAACTCCATGCGTTGCCCCTCCTAACATAAACATGGACGACGAGAACCTCATAGGGAATCGTGGCCGTGGAGGGGGAATTCAGTTTTGGCAGGACCATGAATCTCAACAACAACAACAACATAATCACTATTTAAAGAAGCATGCTCTTCTTGAGCACAATAATAGCGATGACAATTTAGTACGAAGTGGTAGTGGTGGTGGTGGAATAACAACTTGCCAAGACTGTGGAAACCAGGCGAAGAAAGGTTGTAGTCATAGAAGGTGCAGGACATGCTGCAAGAGTCGTGGTTTTGATTGCCCTACTCACGTGAAGAGCACGTGGGTTCCGGTGGCACGGCGGCGGGAACGACAGCTCATGGCGGAGGCTACTACTGCTGCTGCCGCGGGGTCTAGTGGTTCAACTTCTGGCACCAAGAAACCTAGGCTCATTGCTTCAAACACCACAACAACATCTCATACTTCGACTTCTAATAACACTCCCCCTAGGAGCTTTGACACTAGTTCTAGCCATCAAGGTTTGTTTGTTTTGTTGTTGCTCTATTTGTGCTCTCTTATAAATATCATGAATATGAAACCCTTTTATGTTGTTTCATTCATGTTAGTTGTTGTTTTTCATGGGGTTTTGGGAATTGAGTGTAGGGTTTGGTTGAATTGTGTGCAGATGCGAGTTTCAAAGAGTCATTGCCTGGTCAAGTGCGTGCACCCGCAGTGTTCAATTGTGTCAGAGTAACGGCAGTGGATGATGGTGAAGATGAGTACGCATATCAGGCTACTGTGAAGATTGGTGGCCATGTGTTTAAAGGGTTTCTTTATGATCAAGGGGTTCAAGATAGAGATGCTTATCCTAATCTTTCTGAACTGCATTTGGGTGGTGGTGGAAATGTTGGAAGTGGTAGAAATGGAATTTCATCTTCATCTCCAATGATTGATCCTTCTGATGTTTATGCAGCTTCGGGTGGAGGGTTACTCGGAGGTTCATCTACCTTTGGTAATCAAATAAATTAAAATGATCCTTTCCGAGTGCAAGATATTAATAGATTGGCTTGGAAATCCTGACACATATTGTAGGCTAATTTTCTTATTTTGCTAATATTGAGAAGAAGGCTTTTTAGTATAAAATTAATTAATATTCTTCTGAGCTTGTATCTTATTAGGCATGTCATTCTCTGCATTTTTCAACTCCTTGGTTTTGTGTTTTCTCATGAGTAAATCAGTGGAAAACAAAAAGGACCCGCATTAACTATTAGAGAATAATATAAACCATTTAAAAATACAATCACCCAATACCTTAAGATTTTGGGTTGAAGTGATTCTTTTCATGGTATCAGTTTTATATACCAAATTAACTGAAAATGGAAAACTATTCTCGAAAAATCTTGTTTTACTAAATTTACTGTTTAAGATCTTATTTATTAATTATTGTTGATTATATTAAAGTTTTGATTTTTCGAAGCTACTATTGCACTTTCCTCACCTTTAGTATTCCCTTTGTTTTAGACTTAAATTTGTAAAAGGTGAAATCTACATTATTCTACATGTAAACCCCACAAGATAATCTACAGTTTAAAGTATTGATAATAATAATAAAAAATTTAGATATGTATATTTATTCAAATTGTTATTGCATGTTCAGTGCTCCTGCCAGATATATTTTTCAGCACATGATATACTTAGTATGTGGATATGCTTCCTTTTCTCTGTATGTGCTATTTTCATGTTTTGGATTACTAGTGTTGGGTTGGGAAGCTAATATTATCATGGCATCTCTTGTATCTTCTAACTTAGTTTTGTTTTGGATTATTAGTGTAGACTAGAAATGAATGTATGTTCACTCATAGTGCTGCTTTAGACTTTTCGCATGACAAGTAGTTGTTACGTCACTATCATTATATGGATGTCATTGTCATCCTTGTTTATTGGTCACAACATCTCACTGATGCGTAAACAGCTTGCCTAATTTCTATATTCATGAAGGCATGATGTGTTCTCATTTCCTTTTGTTAATTTTTGGAATTCAGACCATCACCACTACCCTGCCTTTTTATTTCATCTAACATTTCAGGCACGTTTTTCAATGTATATAGTGTAATTGTCTAAATCAAGGCTTATTAATGCTTCTGTTGCTTCATTTTGGTGCTCCGTGTCCATGATGCTATACTTTGATGTTAGCAATATTTGCATAGCTTAATTTTTAGATTTGATTTTAGTTTTAGTAGGTATTAACTAATGTCTAAAGTCCTCATCGTCCCGACTAATCTAATTTTGGGTTTTGAGCCCATCCACCCTCCCACGTTACTGAACCTAGAACTCTTGGTTTGTTTGCTTTGATGTTGATTGCACATTGCTTTGGAATTTTTCTTGAAAGTTTCTTTCTTTAATAATTCAGAACCATTTACGATTTAAATTATCATTCCTTCCTTCAATCAGGATATTTGTTAGGGGGTTGAGTGCTCAGCTTTTTTCTATGTATTAATGTGAAGTTGCATGTGTGTGTCACTTATTAGTTGACTAGAATCTTATTAGCCGCTATTTCTGACCTTGCATAAATAAACAAATGAAGGATTGTTTAAATTCATTGCATGTTTTCATTATCTTTGAACAATTCATTGTCACTTATTAGTTGTTCCCTCTTTGTTGTCGGAACATATTTTATATGTTGGGGGATTTTGTAATGTGCATTGGACTACTATTTTATTTTATTTTTTCATCTTTTCTTGTCTTATGGTGTTTGATGTATATTCTATTCATGCGTGTAAGGTCCGTGAAGTATAGGATTGCTTCTGGCATGCTTTTGGGTAGTTATTTAATATAAGATGGGTGTTGTGTTATGTGTTTGTAACCACATTCAATGGTGTCCTTACTTTTCTTACGCTTTGTGGTATTTCTTTGTCGGTATAATGTTGAACTGTCCCACGCAGCTTATCTTGTAAATGAGAAAAAAATCCTATCTTTATGAATAGCTTTTGTCCTATGCCATTTTCTTGTCAAGGTTGTATGAGGGTTATTTTAGGAAATTGGAGAATTTATTTGTCCTAGGCCTTGCAATATTTGTCATGTTGATATCCGTGGGACATTAGCTTATTTGATGTTGGCTAATTGTTTTAATTTCTTGGGATTTGGGAGTATACCTAAAACTTGGGTCCTTTCAACCTGACTTTGTGCTCTTCTCCTATGTGAATGCATGATTGGGTTGTATGATCCATGTTATTCCTGAATTGTTGTTGGATGTTTTTTTTACTGGGTACCTATTATTCACTTATCACTCTAATATAAATCAGTTCCTGCATAACACAAAGTTTTTGTTGCTTAGTTGTTTGGTTTGTTACTTCACTCCCTTCAAAGTTTGTGTAATATTTTTCTTATTTGAGTTAGAATATTATGAACGTTTTGTTTATATTATGATTTTAATACTTTATTGTTTATCTTTCTTTATAAATTTGGGTGATCTAACCCCTTCCCTCTCCCTCTTTGTATTTGGGTATTTAATTTAGATAGAGCATCACATGGTTGATGTAATAATGTTGGAATGGGAACATACAGGTACATGTCTTGTAAAGAATCTTGGGATACACCACCCTAAAAGCTAGCTCAAAGGGTGGGAGTGCCCAAGGTCTTATAAACTTCACATTAGTTGATCATACAACCAATGTGGGACTATATATCTCAACACGCCTCCCTCACACAAGAGCCCATTGGGCTTGAAGAGTGGACAATGCAACAGGCCCAGCCTACCTGTGCTAAGAAATGCTACAAGAGAAAGTGGGGGGCGGCGAGGCTCTGATACCATGTAAAGAACCTTGGGATATGGTATCGCACTTGAAAAAGGGTATTCTAATATATTATAGAATTGTAAATAATCTGTACAAAGGGTTCTCTATTTATAGAGAATATTTGACCTACTTTTAACCTAATGGGCTTGGCCCAATACAACAAAGGGCTTGGCCCAATACAACAATAAATGCCTAAATAAAAACTAAATAATAACTAAATTAATATTATTTACAACACTCCCCCTCAAGCTGAGGAATAAATATTTATCATTCCCAGCTTGCTAGTAAGTTCTTGAAATCTGTCTGAAGGAAGCCCCTTTGTTAATAGATCAGCTAATTGACGCCCAGTGGGAATGTATGGAGTGGTAATCAACCCGCTATCAAGTTTCTCTTTGATGAAATGGCGGTCAACCTCAATATGTTTAGTCCGATCATGTTGAACCGGGTTATGAGCTATACAAATAGCGGACTTATTATCACATAACAGCTTCATAGGTCCCTCACATTTTATTTTGAGATCATCAAGAACAATTTTCAGCCACAGTAACTCACAAATGCCTTGAGCCATAGCTCGAAATTCAGCTTCTGCACTTGATCTGGCAACCACATCTTGTTTCTTACTTCTCCATGTCACCAAGTTACCGCAAAGAAACATGCAATAACCAGTGGTAGAACGACGGTCAGTCACGGATCCAGCATAATCAGCATCTGTGTAGACTTCTAAAGATAGATCGCCATCACGTCGGAATAACAATCCTTTACCAGGAGTACCTTTAAGATACTTTACCTTTAAGATACTGAAGAATTCTCTCTACTGCCTGCATGTGTTTTTCTTTTGGATCGTGCATAAACTGACTGACAACACTAACAACATAAGCTAGGTCTGGTCTAGTATGGGCCAGATATATCAATTTCCCAACTAGTCGTTGATATTGTCCTTTATCAACTGGAGGACTCTCTTCTTCATAGCCCATCTTGTGATTCTGCTCAATAGGAGTATTAGAGGGTTTACACCCGAGCTTTCTTGCTTCTTTGAGAAGATCAAGAACATATTTCCTCTGGCTGATAAAAATTCCTTTGCTTGAATGAGCTACTTCTATCCCTAGGAAATATTTCAGTTTCCCAAGGTCTTTGATTTCAAACTTAGAGGCAAGCCGTGTTTGCAGAATCTGTCTCTCCACAAAATCATCACCTGTGATAATAATATCATCAACATATACAAGGAGCACAGTAAGCTTCCCATTTTGGGAGTGCTTGAAGAAAAGAGTGTGATCTCCTTGGCTCTGTTTGTATCCTAAGGTCATCATAACCTTAGTAAATCTTCCAAACCAAGCACGAGGTGACTGCTTCAATCCATACAAGGCCTTTTTTAATCTACAAACTTTATTTTCCCCCTTCACAGAATCAAAACCAGGCGGGATTTCCATGTAGACTTCTTCTTCTAACTCACCATTGAGGAAAGCATTTTTCACATCAAATTGATTTATATCCCAATTGTAATGGGCAGCAAGGGATAACAAGATTCTCACTGTATTCATCTTTGCAACTGGAGCAAAGGTTTCTTCATAATCAATGCCATAGGTTTGAGTGTAACCTTTGGCCACTAATCGAGCCTTATATCTCTCAAGAGTGCCATCAGAATTATATTTCAGGGCATAAACCCATCTGCACCCTACTGCTTTCTTTCCGTTGGGTCTATCAATAACCTCCCATGTTTTATTTTTCTCCAAAGCATTCATCTCCTCTTGCATGGCTTGAGCCCAATTCCTATCTTTCAAGGCTTCATGTACTGATTTTGGGATTGCAATAGAATCTAGTGCTGAAACAAAGCTTTTGTGCTGCACAGAAAGATTAGCAGAGGAAACAAAGTGGGAGATAGGGTATTGAGTACAAGAGGGACATGAGGAACAAGTTTTCTTGTGACAAGATCTTTTTCCTTTTCTAAGAGCAATAGGTAAGTCATCAGAAGTAGAAGCAATGGGTAAGTCATTAGAGATATCAGAAGAAATAGACAAATCATGAGAGGAAATAATATTAGAATCAGAAACAGGAGATTCAGGAGACTCAGAAGAAATAGGAGATTCAGGACTTACCAGTGGTTCAGACGATTGAGGTTGCTGGTGAGACAGTATGGGTTGTATCTCAGGTGTATTTGAAGGTTCTGACACACCAGGAGCAGACACACTAGGAAGAGAGAAGATTGATCCAGACTCAAAGAAGGAAGGGGACGAGTCTTCTGAAGAACTATTCTCCCCCTGACGATGAGGACCCAGGAAATAAGATTCAGATTCTTGAAAGGTGACATCCATAGAAACAAAAAATTTCC